ATTTAGAAACGGAATCAAAAAATCAGTTTCTAAATTAGAGACGCGACAGAATTAAAAACTCTGTCTCTAAATTAGAAACAGAATTGAAAATCTGTCTCTAAATTAGAAACGGATTTTTTCCGTTGCTAAATTAGAAACGGATTTTTTTCCGTTACTAAATTTAGAGACAGATATTTTTTTTTTTCCGTTGCTAAATTAGAGACGGATTTTTTTTTTCCATTGCTGATATGAGCGACGGATTTTTAATTCCGTCTCTAAATTATTTTCGAAACGAATTATGTAAAATATTACTTTAGAGACGAATTATGTAAACTAAAATTAGTCTCTAAACTAGAAACAGATTTTCAAATCCGTCTCTGACCTAGAGACGGATTTTAAACTCCGTCTCTAATATTTCTTTCACTTATTATTAATTATGTGCGTAGAAGTAACAAATAATATTTGGTATAGTTGGTAAGAGTTTCACTATGTGACTTTGAGGTCACGAGTTCGACTCCTACCTATTACGATTCTTGATATTGGGGATTCAAGGAGCCTTACATGCAAAATCGAGTCGGGTTGACCCGAGTGATTCAAATCGAATAGCATCTACTTTTAGACACAAAATAATTTTTTCCGTTGCTAAATTTAGAGACAGATTTTTTTTTTTCCATTGCTAAATTTAGAGACGGATTTTTTTTTTCGTTGCTGATATGAGCGATGGATTTTTTTTTCCATTACTAATACCAGCGATAAAAATCCGTTGCTAAGTTTAGCAACAGAAAACAAATACAACGTCGCTAGTCTCATTTAGCGACAACAGTTTTGCCAATGGAGTAATTCCGTTCAAAATTTTTCGCTACCTATATTTAGCGATAGAAAAGTACAATCTAGCGACGGATTTGATCTGTTGCTAAATGTATATTTTTTGTAGTGGTTGAGGGTTGTCTCGATTTCCATCCACATGTTGCTGAAGTGCTGAAAGAATGGGATGAGTATGCTTAATGATTACTGTAATTGATGTACTTCAGATTGGGAGTTGATGAAGTTAGTGTTTTGCTACTATTATATGTTTTTGATAATTTTATGTAACTGATGGACTTGACTATGTATAGTATGGTCTTTCTTAAATTTTATATGTTTGGTGTTGATGGCTTTTTTTTCCTATAGCTTATAATTAGTGAATCTATAAATATATAGAGCTCAATTGTTAAGCAATTTCTACAGATAATAATATTACATAAAAAATCTAGAAAATTGCTTGAAGACAATCCCAATGTATCCTTCTATTAAGATGATGAACTAGACGATGCTACTAGCTGATCCAATGTGCCCTCATATCTTGATAAAGTTTCTCCCAACCAATGACGCTTTGATCTCTACCATGGATCAACAATAGGAGGTACTGAAAAGTTTGGTGACATATCAAGTCGAACATAGTGGCGGCCTATGCATGCAATGGCAATCTCAATCCAAGGTCGATCATCAATAGACTGGGCACGCAACGGTTGAACAGTCATACACGGAAATAACTCTCTATTTTGCCCAACTCCATAAACCATAACTGCATAATTCCAAAAATTTGCAATTGGGGTACAAATCATCGATCGGGCAAGTCCATGTAATGGTGCGCGCCACAATGTCCACTGTTCCAACTGATACGGGTAATCGATTCATCCAAGCCTGGCCTCTAGGATACAAATGTATGTATTCTTGTTGATTTGCTTTCACCTCGTTTACAATTATGTACCAAGCTTGTATCCAATTATCTTGTCCACCTAATAAAATTTCAAAAAATACCGAGTTTTTGTGTTTGGGTGTTGCACAACAATAAGATCTCTATTTTTTCCTCTATCTCAAGCACCACGATTGCATCGCAAATACAACCACTCGTTATGGATGTAGTCATGCACAATCTGTAACTTGAGTGTTATTGCAATGTCTTTCGCCCATGTGACAATTCTTGGTATGTCAGAAATAATTAGTCAATCTGAAAGTGTGAGCAACAATTTACCTCATCGCCACCAAAATCTTTAATCGGATCCTATTAAAAAGAAAAATACAATGTTAACAAAAAAACTAGTTGACTTTGAAACTATTAAATACATGAAATTACAAAAATTAAAATACTTCAATTAATATAAAAATTATAAACTAAACTAATTCGTAAATATCTACAAAAAAACGTAAATTTAAAAGCCAATTTCATAAATTATTTCATTCTCATACTATTAAATAAAAAGTTTTTTTTATTAATTTAATTAAATTAAATTAATTAGCTCATAAAATATTAAATTAATAAACTCATCGTGAATTTACTAATAATATTAAATGTATTTTGTTTATTTTATTTATTATAAAAACATAATTAAAAAATAAACAAAAAGAAAAAAAATTCCCTAACGTTTTCTAGCGCCTGTAATATTAACCATTCCTTGGTCTAGTTGCATGTAATATGCAATTATACCATGGTACTGTTGCGTATTACAGGTAACTATAACATGGTATAGGCGATTGTAATAGGTAACTATACCATGGTATAAGCGCATGTAATATGCAACTATACCATGGTGAGGTTGCATACTATAGACCTCATACCATGGTTTAGACACCTATTATAGATGCCTATTACAAGCACCTGAGTACATCTGAATTTGAAAAAAAAATAAGGTTTGACATATACCTGATTCGATGGCGTCGAAGGTTCGTTGTCCCCACCTAGTGCCTCTGATGAACGCGGACCGTCATCGTCTCATTTATGTGGCCGGAATGTACAATGTGGTGGCCAACCGTCTTGGAATCAGGGGCGGAGCTAGTGGTCGAGCTGGTTGTCAAGGTGGAGCCATGGTGGTGATGCCTTGGATGGTCAAGGTTAGTGGTGTCAGGTCAAGCTTTGGCAATCATGTGAATGTATGTAATGATGGGAGTATTGAGGTCACTCAATACCGCAGCTTGAGTATTTTCATTGTGGCATTTAGCAATTCACTTTTTTATTAAATTTGAACTTAAAGTAAACAATTAAAAATTAAAAACTATTTTGTGAAACAAATTATAATAGTTTTAACCCATCTAACACACTCACCTAGATAATTAAGCCACATGACCCACTACACTCTAACCAACCTAACCCATGAACCCAGCTTGACCCACCTGCGACCTACCTAACCCACAAACCCTGGGTGTTTAATTTCTTCAACCCAGTCCAGCCCACCCATACACCAACCAAGGGTCGGTCATGTGTCACCCTACCCCAACCCACAACCCACCTAACCTTAACCCAACACACCTAGCCTGCACGATGGCCACCTTAATGAGGCGAGTACAAAGCGAGGTGAATAGTGGGAGCGGGGCCAGTACAACCTAAAATCCACCTTTGTCCTCTGCCCCATCACCCATGGCAAGTATGACTTTTTATCCCCATCACCGATCCCACCACCCGTCAAATCAGCATCCTTGCCTCACTCACTTACTTGACTCGCTTCATTGACATCTCTAAGTAGATATTTTTATCAAACAGTCAAACCTAAACTTACACAGCATTTCCTTACATTAGGTAAATCCTAAGGTCATTAAAGGCCCAAAAAACTTGTTTAAACTCCCAACACCCTTATTTTGTGCATAGCCCAATCATGATGTTGTCCATCTCTAAAATGACCACCTAAGGGATTGACATTCATAAATTCCCCAACACCCTCCTGACCAAGAAAACACTATAACAAATAAAGTAGAATAATTGAATAATGCTAACTTTGATTATAACTCTACTAGTCTACTACTATTATTAATAGCCACAAAAGCTCCAAATTGCACAATTAACCAAAGATCACACAAGCTTAAAAGGTATTGCTCGGAATGTAAACTAGCAAATGGATAGGGTCAACCCACCACACAATTGGCAACAAAACTTATTATGGTTAATCGAGCACCTAACAAGGCAAAAATAACTAAGAATTCTGCTAATATAAGATAGATAAAACTCACATAATAAAAAAACTGATACGATTATGAAGAACGCCTATGTCTACTGCGGCGTCTCTTGTTAACTTGTGAGTCCTTGATGCAAAATTAGATTAGAGAGTATATACTAGAGTGCTTCCTTGTAATGAGTTGAAGGAAAATACAGATACGATAAAAGTTCAAATTTTGTTCGCCTACGTTTGGTTTAGCCATACACTGTTTCAAACAAATGGAAGCACTAAAATCACTCCAAAACAGCAATCACTGTACAATTTGTGCCAATATATGAGGTTGGATGTGTAGAGTTACATGTCATGGATATACCTAATGATCAAATAGCGAGTCTTATGGAGAGCAAAAGCATGTGGCGACTTACGACTTATCTTGCCAAGGCATAAAAAATACGGAGTAATACATTTTTTACAAAACCATAATCAAAGTTTAATGCAAAAATAAGGGGTCAGAAACTCCAACAGAGAAATCACACCACCAAGTAGGGGTGAAAATAATTTGGATTAAAACCGAACCAAATCGAAAATCAAATTGAATTAGTAATTCGGTTTAGATTTATTTGTAATTCGGATTGTATCAGTTTGGAAAAATTAAAAAATATGGATTACGGTTTGGATTCGGTTCGGAATTTTAATAAACCGAAAACCGAATTACAAACCGAGATTTCGTTTTGTTACATTAAGCCTATTTTCTTTTACAAAGTATCTCAACCCCTTTGCCCTTTCATGTATAAACCAAAATAAAAGACCCTAATTTTCAATTCTCCTTTCTCAATATCTCTCTCACAAAGAATATAGTTAACAAGAAAAAGTTCAACAATTGGAGGAATTTTTTAGGTGAAGTTCGGATTCGGGTTTGAATGTTGCGAAAGAATGGAACAAATTTCGGTTTTGACTGGATTCTAATTAGCAAAACCGAATTAATTCGGTTTGGTTTGGATTGGATCGAATCTTAATTCGGTTTGGATTCGGTTTGAGAAATCCAAAACTGAATTAATTTGGATTGGATTCGATTTTGGCTATATTCCAAACCGCAAACCGAACTTTCAACCCTACCACCAAGAACCTTATTATTATACAAAACTTCGTGCTGTACAGGACTCAGGACTCAAGTGAATCAATCAGATACTGGTAACGAATCCAACATCAGTTACAATTCTTAATATCAAGAAACGAAACCGACTAAATGACTGATTTCATCAAGATGCATATGGCATTTCGCTCAAATTAATGCAACAGGTCATCAATGGAAGTGCATATATACAATTGAAGCAAAACTGGGCAGCTCCGGTATGAGCATCTGACCAGCTTCTAACTGATCTTCAAGCAATTTGTCTGTACCTTCTACACCAATTGTGCATCTGATTAATCGCCCTGGAGTGATTCATTTGAGCAAGATGTCTGAATCTTCTATATCAACTGTGTGTTTCGTTCATTTGGATGAACAGCATCCTATCCATACTGAACTTCACCACTGAACAAAGATAGAGATAAACTGGTGTTATAACTTACAGCCAAAAAAAGAGTCCCACTTAGTTAATGAACTCAAGTAGCGAATCTACTGACTCTGTAAATTCAGCAGAAAGGAACTGGACCAAAATAATCATATCGCTCCTTGTTGCCCAAACAAAAATCAGCACCAGCGTAGTTTGGGGGATATTTGAACTATTCTGGGATTTAAACCAAATATGTATTGTATCCTCTTAGGAGTTCAAGCATGAGGCACAAGTCATCAGGACTTAAGTGGATATTCCTGTGTTATTCCTAAATAACATAATAAGAATGTTGTCATCTTTGTGTCTCAGATTCCCTTTTTCGACGGTAAGAAAAGATTGAGTTGAGCGTCACTCTTCCAACTCTCCTGTTTTTTCGGCTCCTTTTACTCCTGCCTTTCTTCTTTTCCTTTTCAACGGAAAGTTGTGAAATTGGTAAGTTGTTGATCCAAACTAAAGGCACTAAAGCAGCCAAACTCTGCAGCATGATCCCTACAGAGAGGCTAGTGTAATTGTCAGAAGTTATACCAAGTACAGAAGCCAATCCAATACCAAAAAAACCACTAACAATTGTTGACAAAGTTAAAGCTGAGGCCAAGAACGCAGTGACTGAAGCCTCACATCCTGAAGGGCATAAGCTCCCAATAAGCACAAAAAATGGTACTGTTTTAAAAGTAGCAATGGTCTCAGCCAACCCTGAAAAGCACAAAGCGAAAACATTGTTTGGTATTCCGAACTTCAGGTTGCTTTGTGTGACTAGAACAAGGTCAAGGAGGAGAGAAAAGGCATATAAGAATTGCACTATGCCAATCAATTTCCTTATGGGAATATTTTTCCAATACCGGTCATAGAGCACAGTTAATGATAAGAGCAGCATCTGCCCAATTACCTTGGAAACACCGATAACTGAAGGGTCAAGATTAAGGGATTGTGTTTGATAGCAAAAGATAGATCCTGTGAGCATTGGCACCATTGCAATAGAAGCTACAACCCAAAATAGAGGACGAGATATCTTATCATCACTCAAAGCAACTAGAAGATCAGAAAACTGTCTCTTTATATTGCTCAAGCTTGAACTTTGTTCAACAATAGTACTTAGAGGCTTTGATAAACCAAGGGACTCCTCCTTTGTTGATATAGAAATTAGAAGTTGAACAGACAGCAGGAGTGTAAAGATAGATAAGAGAGTCCTTGGATGCGATTTCGATAGTAGTATACCACCCAACGAGTTGCCTAGAATTCCTGCAACTGCTATTGCCATGAATGTATAGGACTGTAGCCCAACAATTTTATGTTTTTGTCCATATTCTGCAATAAGAGCATCTTGTGCAACCTCTGTGACAGCTGCACCAAGATTACTGAGAAGAACGCATGCCATAAGGGTAGGAAAGGCTTCACCCACAACTGGAATTAACGATAACGGTCCCCATGAAAAGACCTGCAAGATAACTACAAAGTATGAACTTATTTATGAGCATCACTTATGTGGCTTAGCCTCAAGGCACAGACAAAATGCACCACATTACTGCAAAATGCTAAGCTAGAGAAAATCAGCCAGAAATCACCGACAAATGAAGATAATGTACTTCTAAGAAAATGAAACCAATAATAAAGCATAAGCAAAAAATAGCTGCTAAACATGCAAAGACTCCAAGAGATAGAGTAAATAAATCAAAGAAAAGTATGGCACCCAAAGAAGCAGATGAGGCATGTTGATTCAGGCATACTACTCCTACCTCCAGATAAAGCCGACTGGTTTTAAGAGCTCATATGGGTTTTGGGAGCAGGGGATATGGGAGAGAGCATTACAAATTTACAAGCACCATCCTAGGATTGGCCTAACATGCTATACAATGTATCATAATGAGTTTTAAAAAATGTTAGGAGAAAAAAAAGCTGGACTAGATACCTCTACGCTGTTCCCAGAACCAAAAATCTAGATCATAATAACCTTGTGAACCCAAATTTTCATTTTCAAAACTTATTTAGCCCAAATTATTCATATACATTTCATTATTTAAGCTCTTAAATTTTGTATTAGAACCAAAAAATTCAAACTCTGTCCATCAAAAGACAGTATTACCTTTATCTGAATATACTACGCCTCATTTAACTTTAAGAATCAGAGGTTGCTTACATTTTGTCACAATTTCAGTAGTATCAAAAAAATAAAAATAAACCGCATTTTTCAGTTTTTTCTCAAGAAATATTTTAGTTAAACTAAAATTTACAGTTTTTGTTAAGATATGACTATACTAGTGTAATACGAGTATTACTTCTTTTTTTTTTTTTTTTAACACACTAGCAAAAACTTTTTGTTACAGTACGATTTTTATCAGTCCAAAATATACCAACATTTGATAACCAAGAAATATAACCCTTCATATTCATATGCTACCCTTCTATTTTGGGCTAGTCATAGTTACAAATTTACAATTCTGTATTCAACTATTCGTGATTTTACTTTCAGCTTTTGTTTAAAATTCTGTATCTGGTATCAGTCTTATAAATCAATAAGATTTAACAGCAATAAACCAAAAAGAAATAGACAATAGAATTAACAGCATTAAACCAAAAAGACATAGACAATAAGAACAAGCACAGCACAAATAACATGAATAGATTACAGTTTCCTGTACCATCAATACCATAAAAGGTACAGAGTACTGCATACTACATTCTACGTATTCCAATATAGATAACCAACAACGGTGTAAGTCCAAGTATCATACTAGGTCATTTTCAAGGTACATCCACCATACATAATTAGTGGTTAACTAATCACATTGTTCCAACCCTTCATATCTACTTATATTACACAGTTAACGTACTACCGGCAAATTTGCAGATTGCAAATTCAATCATAAATCATTAGTATTTCCTCGGCTCCACAATATTGCAACAAGGATGAAATTACGCATCCCGAAACACATTTTATATGCTAAATATCTATAATTATATAATATTGTGAAAGTATTTTACGGGACGAATCTAATAAGACCCCACGTAACTATATTTTACTTTACGTAAAAATTATAATATGTGGTCAAACAAGCGTCATGAATAGTGTAAAAGTCCAATTTATTGCAATATTACTAGAACGGAGGAAGTATTACATGATGGAATAGTACTAACATGCGCGTGTACTAAACATTAATTACACTAATATGCGCGTGTCTTTGTCATAAATCTCCAAACTTATACCATTTTAAGAAACCTTTTTACTACGTATATGCAGCGCTAACGGCTGTAATAGCATAACCCACTTTCTATATTAGATGACATTTTCCAGAACATTTTAAATTAATATGAACAATATACTACGAGCACATCAATTTCATGATTGTCAGCAAGTGAAAACTAAATGTGTATGTCATTTTTAGCAAGGATATAAACCAACAAAATTAAAAAAATTAAAAATTAAAAAAAAGAAAGAAAAAAAAAAATATTTGAATTTAGAAACTAACCTCCAATACAAATATAAGGAATTCTATGAGCAGCACCAATATAAAGAGCATCAGATAAAATCCCATAAAAGGGTTTAGCCACCATTGGAAGAATACCACAATATTGCACCCACTGTAAAGTTGAAGGATCATAATTCAGATTTTGTGCCATATGAAAATTAAGAGCTAACCATGGAAAACACCTAAACCCTTGTACCCAATAACCCAATCCACACAAAACCAACATTTGATTTTTACTACTACTAATAGTATTATCATTTTTGCTAACACCAATCTTTGTTTCAACAATTATCTCATCACCAATTCTCCATCTCATGGGGATCCTGCCCTTACATTTTTCCCCGAAAGGCGGCGGCGGCGGCACGGCCGCCTTTGGTGGTTGAACAATGAAACAACGTTTGTTTGTAGAATTGGGTTTCCATAATTTGTTGAAGAAATTGTAAGGGGTAAGGAATTTTGAGGTTTGGGATTCAAAACAAATGATGGAATTTTTCATGGAAATTGAAGATGATTTTGGGAATTTTTTGATAAATAATGGGTTTGAATGTAATCCATTGGGAATTATCAATGAAACCATTATTCTTGTTCAACCTTATTAACAAGAAAATGCAAGAAAAGATATTAATAAAGGGAATAAATGAAAAAGAAATTAGACCTTAAATTTGTTTGGCTGAATTTAATAAGAGTAAAATATAAAATTCTTGATTTATCTAGTGATGAGTAGAAGAGTGTAGTGTAGGGAAGGGATTTTTGTGGAGTCAGCCAAACAAATTCTCCATCATATGAGTCATTGGGAATTGGGAGGGAAGAGGTAGAAGAGACAGAAAGAAATTTCCAGGCTTTTTTTGAATATTTAAAGCTAATTTTTACAGCTGCTGGCCTTTTTGTCTCTTTTTTCAATTTTTTTTTAGTTTCAAATTTTTTTTTTTTTTTTTTTTTTGACATAAAAATGGAGTTCTTTTTTGGACATAAAAATGGAGTTCATAAATTTAAGTTTTACTTGCATTAATCCTTACCTTGAATAATTTAGGAATTACCCCCATGTTTTGGGGGACTATTTTTGAAAAAGTGTATTGTTTTATAATTTTTGGTTAATTAATTGTTTATCAGGCAATTATAACATGTTTGTTTATGGTGAAAAACTCTAAAAACTAAGAATGGTATTATTATGATAAATTTGAAAATGGAACTTTGTCTCTATGCATTTGTTATTGTTTAAGAACTTTTGTTACCACTTAATACCAAATATGAAGAAAAATATTTTTTTCCTTCATTGCGAAATTTTCTCCTTGATTCAATACAACTTAACATCTCCCACTTGGTTTTTCTTGATTATAACAAATTTTATTAGTTAAATAGTTAATGCACACAACATACCCTTCAACACTTTCGTTTCAACAATCTCAAGGCTTTACATCTGTATCGATCTTCTTGTACAGTTCACCGGATACATTTTAATCAATTTGCATTCTTGTTAGATTGATTATTTTTTTTGTTTTAGAAAATGATTATTTAAGTTGAAATATATGGAAGCTTCAATTGGCATGATAATTCTCTACGAAAAATACATCCTCCCCACTCTATTTTCTCTCTTCTCACTTCCTCCTTCAAAACCCAATTTAATTTATTTACTAGCTAAAGTCCCGTGCAAACCACGGTTATCGTAAAATTTATATCGAATTATATTTTTCATTACGTATTAGCAAAAAAATATTATTTTTAACCAAATAGTTTCAATTAAAATCTATATCCAATACCAAAGACATCAAAAATATTACCCTTCGTGTTTTTTTCTATATACTTTGTATATGTTATCAAAATAATATTTTTAATGAAATGACTTCTATAGCCAAAATATAAAGTTCTAGAAAAAAGAATGATTATGTTATTGTAATCATTGATAATAATATTATTCTAATTACCTTTTTTAAGGTAAATTCTAATAACCTTATATAATAGTATATACGAGTATAAAAATTTACCAAGTATATTATTGAAGATATATAAAAAATATTCTTTTACATATGATTACCAAAATGAGAAGACTATAATATAGGTTATAAATTTGAGATTTTAATTTGATACACTTTTGTAGGTTCTATTGTAATATACTTTGTAATTTAAAAATATTTTGTTTGATATATTTTTCTTAATTATATAGAAGACATTGCATTGCATTTATAAAAAAAATAGTACAATATCCAGTGACCTAATTATAGTGCCCTAATTATATATGTATAATGTTAGTCAATAATTTTGTGATTTGGTAAATATATGGTAAATATTTATTTTAGGAATAAATAAATGGAATCTTGTATAATAAATCAATGGATAATTAAAAAAATTAAGATTTTTTTGTACCAGGAATTGACACGTGTCATTCCTGGTGTCAGTTTTAGTATTATGTTATTGATTTTAATTTATGTTTTTTTTGTTTTGTTTTAGGGTTTACCGCCAACCTTTATTTGATGGTAAGCCCCTAATTTATTGTTATTTACTAGTTTTTGTTTTATGCTTATAATAAATCTCCACTCTCTCTCTCTCTCTCTCTCTCTCTCTCTCTCTCTCTCTCTCTCTCTATTAGAGAGTTATTTTATCCAATTTTTTCGATTATATCACACATATACCGGGTTTTTTCTCTCTCCTTGTAAGAGTTTGGGGCTATATAATTTTTTAAATTTTGCAGCAAAAATGGATTTTTTGATGAGGATTTGTGCAATGTCACAACAAAGTTCAGTTCTACAATACATTAATGATCAATTGCATCAAATTTGTTTAATTTCAAAACTACAATAGATCGAATTGAAAGACCCCCTCATGGAATGCGATATATATCAAATAATAATGTGAAGAAGAGTACTTATCATATCTCATATCCAATGATCGTGGCGTTGCTAAATTAGAATATTATTTGATCCAATTTATATAGTATTTGCTTGTTTTAAACTTTATTGCAGATGTTGTATGAATTTTCTATCAATGAATTATTTTTTATATACAAAAAGAAAAGTTCAAACATTAAACAATTGTTTTTCAAAACTTTCAAATATACTCCCTTCGCCTCATAATAATCGACACGTTGAATGAGTATTGATATAAATTTTCATTATATATATATATATATATATATATATATATATATATATAAAAAAAAAAAATAATATATATATATATATATATATATATTGAAAACACACACACACACACATATATATATATATATATGTAGCGAAGGGGGTATATTCAAAAGTTTTGAAAAACAATTGAGTTCATGTGAGAACCAAGGTGAATAATAGGAACTAGGAACTAATCTCAACTGTTCATCAAGTTGCATCTGATGCCTCACGTTTCACTCGCCTCATTAATGGCATTTTAGTAATTTTTCGCGTTGAATGAACTTCCTTCTGTTCTTTTCGTTCTCTCTCCTCTCTTGAACTTTCTCTCTCTACCCGCATAACTCTCTCTGCTCTCTCAAATTCGAGAATCTGTTCTTCGCTCATCAAGTATTTTCTCTGAATCTTCGATTTTCTTCATTGTTTTGAGGTAATTTGTTTCGATTTATTATACTTTTTGTGATTTTTTGAATTTTTTTTATCGATTTGCGGATTTTTGTTTTCTCATTCGATTAGTTATTTTTGATTTGTTGTTGTTGTTGTTTTTTGTTCGATTTTTCAAATTATTTCTTATTTATTTATTGTTCTTTTATTATGATTTTGTGTTTTTTGAATTACTTATTACGATTTAGGGTTCATATATTTCAATTTGGGTGTTTTTCGAATTACTTATTACATTTAGGGTTTTGTATTAAGATTTGGGGTTTTTTGTAATGATTTTTAATCTAATTGTATGATTTAGGGTTCTTTTGGTTGTTATTTTATGATTTACTGTTATTTGAGTTATTTCCTCTTTTGAAGAAATATTGCTCCATTTACTTTGTTCAATGTTCCGAAGAAACATTCGTTTTAGTGTTGCTGCTTTATTCAATTCTTTTTATTCTTTTTTCACTCTTTGTGGTTTTATATTTATTTTTTGCTTTGTGTCATTTACTTTTTGTATTGAATCATTTAGTTTTCACTATTACTTTTGCTTAATCCTTATAACTGCTTTTTTATTTTGTTTGTTTTACTTTTTGAGCTTTTTTTATTTACTTTTTGCTTTGAGTCATTTACTTTTTAGTATGCCTCTAATAGTTTTTATTTGTATACTTTTTTTTTGGTTTACTTTTTGTTATTGTTTATTTACTATTTTCTTTGATTCATTTACTTTTCAGGAAGATGACTAAAAGTGTAGAGCATTGTTCTACTGTTGTCACCGATAAAGATATGAATGTAAGAATTTTCAAAACACCCACTCAGCCTGTGCTTCCTAGGATATATTATAATTCTGGAGGTGATAAAGAGTATATCCTAGGTTGTTCTTTGGAAAACAAACCTATTATTGGAATGAAATTTGATAGTCTTGAAGATGGTATTGTCTTTTATATCAAATATGCTAATGAGTGTGGATTTACAGTCCGTTCTAGTACTACTTAAGTAGATAAGAATAAGGTTGGTTCTAGTAATGGTAAAAGAGTTACTGTAATTAAATATTTATTATGTAGCAAAGAAGGGTATGTGACAAATAACAAGAAAGCTGGTAAACTAGTTGAAGGTGCATGTTTAAGGAAAAAGACTGTGAATAGAGTTGGATGTCCTGCTAAGATTAAATTTAGGTTTTGTAGTGGTGGGAAGTATATGGTTTACTTTTTCCATGAGTCTCATTCTAACCCTTTTTCTACACCTATTACTAAGCAGGTTAATAAATATGAAGTTGGTTTAAATTTTGTTCATAAGAAGTTTATTTTTGACAACTCAAAGTTAAATATAGGGGCTGTTATGTCTTATAGGATCATGAAAGAACTTTGTGGTGGGTATATCAAGGGCAGTAAAAATGACTTCAAAAATTTTTCTAGGGACTTGAAAGTTTATATCTCTAATGCTGATGGTGCTGTTTGTTCAAAACCTTGAACAAAAAGTGAAAAGCACTGAAGGGGGTTATTATTTTGATTACTATGTTGATGCAAACAGGCAACTGACACATATTTTTTAGGCTGATCCTATTGGTAGAAGAGATTTTCAATTATTTGGGGACTCTTTATCTTTTGATTCTGCCTATGATACAAATAAATACTCATTAGTTTTCTGCCCTTTTACTGGAGTTGATAATCATAAGAGATGTATTACATTTTGTGCTGCTTTATTATCTAAAGAAGATGTAGAATCTTTTGTGTGGCTATTTCAAACTTTTTTGAAGTGTATGGGAAGAGAACCCTCTTGCATAATTACTGATCAAGACCCTGCAATGGGTATTGCCATACAAAAAGTTTTTACCATGACTAAACACAGGTTATGTATGAGGCATATAATGAGGAAGGTACCTGAAAAGGTTGGAACTCAGTTTTGTAATGAAACTGAGTTCTTGAAAAAGCTAAGTGCAGTAGTGTAGGATAGAGAAATTGATCCCCATGTATTTGTTGATGGCTGGAACAGTGTTATAGAGGAATTTAACCTTGTAGATCATGAATGGTTTGCATACATGTTCAAGATAGGCATCTTTGGATCCCTGCATATTCAGGGACTTGTTTATGGGTGGGTTACTGCGTTCTACTTCTAGGTCTGAAGGTGAAAACAGTTTCTTTTGTAATTTTATAAACCCCCATGTGATCGACCTGTGTTGAATTCTTTGTTTGTTATGAAACTACTCTTGATGCTCAAAGGCATGAACAGGATGAGTTGAACATGCTTAATAAATCTGAGCCTCAATTGCTTACTCAATTACACTTTGAAAAGCACGCTGCTGTTGTTTACAATCGTGCCATCTTTTATGATTTTCAAGAAGAATGTCAGGCAACTTGTTTCTCATGTGGTGTTGAAAGTTGTAGTTCTCTGTATGGAGATGGTGTGGAATTTTCTGTAATTGTTGATGATGAGAAAAGGAAAAACTTTGATGTAAATTTTGACTTGGCCACATATAAGTGCAATTGTACTTGTAAAATGTTTGAGAGTCAAGGCATCTTATGTAGACACATTTTGTTTATTATGAAAGGCAAGTCTATACGTGAAATTCCTGATCTTTATATCCTGAATCGTTGGAGAAAAGAAGTTCTGAAGAAAGCTTCAGCCAGAAATGCTATTCTGGATGATGCTTCTAAGTATGATAAGAAGAAGCAATTGGTGAGTGATGTGTGGTCCAAGATTTTTATTTGTGTGAGTTTATCTAAGCAATCTGAGGATGATTTATCTGAGCTTATTAGGACATTATTTTCATTTAAGGAGCAGATGCTGACAAAGAATAATCCTGAAAATGCAACTAGTTTAAAAGAGGTGAAATATGCTAATATTCAGGTTTTGGTTGGGTCAAATGAAGTAGATGTAAACATCTTGCCTCCAAATCAGTGCCTTAACAAAGGTTCTGACAGAAGTTCAAAGCGGTTGAAGAGTGCAAAAGAAATAGCTTCTGAAGAAAAATCCAAAAGGGGCAAAACTTGTAGAACTTGTGGGCAATCTGGTGTTTCACATGACAGTAGAAACTGTCCAAACAAGTAGTCCTTCAGGTATGTTACTTTTACATGTGTTCCATTTACTTTAATCTGTTATTTATTTACTTTAACTTTAAACTTGATTTACTTTTTATTTTGAAGGTATTATTATACTTGTACTTTTCTTTTAGGTATTTTACCTTTGTACTTTTCTCATTTACTTTAAGTTGAAATTATTTACTTTACATTGTAACTTTAATCTGTCACTGATTTTTAGATGTTTATTTTTGTGCAGTTATTATAATACTTGAAAATTTTAAGATGTTTTGGAAGATCAATATCAAGATGCACTGAAGAATTTTTTTTTTTAATGTAATATTTTTACATTTACTCTTAAGTAATTGTACTGTAGAAATAAAGTTCAGTTTATTTACTTTTTACCTATTATACTTTAACCTTATGAAATATTTCATTTACTTTATGATATTGTTTTTTTCCTGCCTTTCACAATGAATAATATATCATATGAATTGTATTATCATGTAATGTCCTTCTTATTTACAAAGTTGAAGATAATACCCTATATTACTCCCTTTGTTCCAGAATATTAAAATACATAAAAGAATCTTTTACACATTAAACTATTATTCTAACCATGGTTTCATTAAACTCCGTGTCTAACGAAACGTCCCAACTATCTGGGACGGAGGGAGTAACAAAACTTGTTAATATACGAGGCTCTTTTATAACCAAACTTTAACAGTATTTTTCTTTTCTTTAAAATCGAACACCATATTTCAAAATGACTTCATTTTCTAAACTTTTTTCTTTTACTTTTAACTGAGTTCCTGTTACTTTAACATTATTTTCATTTACTTTTTGATTTATTTCTTCTACTTTTATATCTAGCACCATTTTTCACATAGAATAAATCTACTACTTCAACTCAGAGATATAATATGTATTCTTCATACAAACATACTACTTAAACCTTCAAACTAATGTATTGGATTAGTACTATACAACTTAAAGTACTCTAATGCCTATGATATATTTAAATCTATTAAAAACATTTACAATTCTTCAAATGCCTTTTGCTTTCTTCTCTTCCCAATCCTCAACATTTGTCAGCAGTTTCTCTTGTATTTGATTGTTATCATTGAGAAGTAGGTCAAGTACTGTTTTTATATGATGGTGTGTCAATGTTTGAAATTCTTGTAAAAAAACAAAAGATTAACCTTAGTTTTAATAAATTATGCTCTAAGTAATTCATATAATTTAAAAAATTTAAGGACTTCAGAAATAAGTATGGTAACTTACCTCTTTTATGGTTCTCAATCCTATCCCATTAACACCATCATACACCTTCATATGTAGCATTAGATAGCTTCCTGAGTAATTTTCTTGTCTTTTTTTTGGGAATGGAAGTTCAATTATTCTCAAGTTGTAGGACAACATATCATCTGCCTTTGGATGCTTTTTTTTTTTTTGAACAACTTCTGCATTTGTATGATCTGCAATGGAATGAATATTAATGTAAATGATACATTGAAAAATGAATTTAATGACAATCTGTTAATCTATTTATGCTTTACCGTTTTTGAGATAAAACTCTTTACAGGGTCCCATTCATTAGTGTTCTCGTATTCAGTGTTGTCCAAATGATTAATTGTTTCATTTCTGAAGTTTATGACAGAAAAAATATAATGATCTTCCTGCTTCAGAGGTATAAATACCTGCACATAAAAAATATTTACACATATTTACTTTAAAGCTTTTTCTTATTACTTTAAACATATATCTTTCTACTTTAAATATTTATTCTATATCTTACACATTCAACTGCATCCAGGTCCAATGATTGTGATTTTGTCCATTCAACCTATAGTTTTTGCAGACTTGTTACTCCCTTTTTCCCATGTGCATTCAAACACATAGTTAAAGCATCCTGCAAAAAATTTCCCAAGTTTATTTCACATATTTATACAATGTATAGTTTTATATTATAAAAGTAAACTTAAAAAACTTACCATGAAGTCAAGTCCAAAGAATAATCTGACCATGTCATTTTCAGACCTCTCTTTTTGCCTTTCATTGTTATTGAGGTGGTTTGACCAAGCAGTGATCAGATTAGTTGTAGCTTCCATTCATTGAGCAAAGTGTTACAATCTTCCCTTATTATTTCAATTGATTCTCCAAACCAACCTACTACTTCTTATAATGTTAAATTAAATTTATGCTGAACAATTTAATATATAATGCAACAGCAGTATTAGTTTATTTACAAGTATAATACATACCTCTTGTTTGGAAAGTTTTCATCATCATTGATTGCTAAGTAGTCAATTACTTGATTACATTTCAAGCTCATGCTTTCCATTACTTCCTTGCGTGTTTTCAAGAAATTAGAAACATATACCATATCTTTCACCTCTTTCTCTTTCTCAAGTTTTCTAACTACTTTGAACCTTGAAACTTTTTCCATAAGACTTTTTCTTTTAGTGTTTATCTCTGCCAAAGAAAGTGTAGCACAAATTTTTGCACAATACACCTTTCTCCTATTTGCTAAATCAAGGTCGGAATCAAAAGGATCTCCAGTAAAACACAGCATATGCATCATTATAAAAACACCACAATCAAGAGTATATTTTGGTGTTTTCCACTTGAACTTAACTTCATCAAACTCATAATCTAGTATTTCATCAGCTTTTTCATGATTAATTCTCTTCAGGAAGTTTGACATTTCCTCCACCTATAACATTTGTAAAGCAATATATAAGTAAAACAAATTTACAGTACAGTTTACTTTAAATAACCTATGTATTACTTTAATAAGAACATCATTTACTTTATATTTTATCTTATTCTTTTTACAGGCATAATAATGTATACTTTTAATACAAATTTATTTACTTTAATAGTAATGTCATTTACTTTATATTAATAGTAATTTACTTTTGAGAAATTTTAAAAAATCATACCACAAGAGATGCAAGAATTTTGTAGAAAGGCTTATGCTTGTCATCATACTCCCTGTTATCCAAGTATTGAATGGTCTCTTTCAAGAAGTTAACCACTACCAAATTATAATGGTTACCTAGAAAGATTGGAACAAAGATCTGTCATTAAAATTACACTTATTAGTCTACAAATTCAAAATCATAATGCGCTACGATGTACTCTAATTGACATGTAATCAAACATACCAACTGAGCTGTCATAATTTTCTTCTTTGCTTCACAGAGGCACATCCAATCATACCATGCCTCATTCAATTCTGCCGTGTATGTTGAAGGAGATGGTTTTTCTTTTTTATCTGTTTTCGGAGTTGGCTAGGAAGGATTTTGTGACATGAGAGACAACTCTAGAGGTCTTTGTGTATTAATGAGGACATAAAACATGTTACTTAATTAGATCATATACATTTTATTATGTATTTAGCTAAAGATTTAATTTAACGCTTACATTGTGGTCAATGCCAAAGAAACAGCATGATGGATCTTCTTTCAATCGTAAATCATTCATAAGAAATGACCAACATTGAACTATACTGGATTTTATCATTTTGGGGGGGGGGGCAGTTGGAGCTAGGGATACCGTGTCATCCCTTGTTATCATGAAAGCAGCTTCATATCTCACAAGCTCTTCACTGTGCACATGTAAATGTTTATAAAGTAAATGAAATATTATATAAAGTAAATTAAATATTAACTAAAGTAGATAGAATATTCTTAAAATTAAAAAATTTCATAACTTACTGTTTGAATGCACTGTACTTCACAAAGCAATAATCAGCCTCTACTTGATACAGCTCTGGAATTTCATTCATTCTTGATTTGTTGCTTTTCATCCACTTTGAAACGAAATTAATTTCAACATCTTTTTCTCCACAATCTACATTGATGTTTATCTTTGAAGTTATCTCTTAGTGAATGTTCTTAAGCACAATGGTTTCTTATGCAACAGGTTGTTTATCATCATCACCTGAAATAAAACAGCAGATGTAGTTTCAAAGAAATCATACACTATCTACTTTTAATTGTTTTGTATTTACTTTTATACAATATTTACTTACTTTTGTTAACAACTGCTCAAAATCAAAGATAACAATTGAAAAGTTAAATAAAACAGATCAAACAGTTATTTATTAAATTTTAACCAATTTTTATTTACTTTTATCTATTTTCTATATACTTTTATCTACAACTATTAAATTTCAAAGAAAACTACCCAAAGTTAATTTGAAAAAAGGTACACCATTACCTTTTTCAACAACCACATTAGCCTCTTTGGTTACTTCCTTTGTGAAAGTATCTTCAGCATCTTTGAGTGCCTTTTTACTTTATTCTTTTGTGATAGGTGGCTTATCTTTGCTTATTTTTTTCCTTGGTTGTTCACCATCTTCCTCACCATTATCACCATCATTTTTTGTAGCACCCTTCCTAGTAACTTGAGGCTCTCCATCAATTGTTTTTTTTGTTACTTTCTTTGTAACATTTGGCTGCTCCTCTTGAACAACATATCCTTTAGGATACTCTTAGTAACTGAGCTTACTACATTATTAAGGTCTTCATTTGGTTCTTCATGAATATCATCACCATCATCAGCTATATTGACTTCAGTATCTGGATCAATATACTCAGCATTCATTTGATCTTGATTCAGATCTTCTTTGTGTTTAGCTGCCTGCTCTTGATAAGTATCGTAGAAAACGTTTGTATTATCCTTCAAATAATCATACAACCTAACCACTTCATCAAAAGCTCTTTGCACCCGTGGGTCACCCAAAAGTCTTTGTGTTTGAGTAACTACTTCAACTTTCTCTACCAATATTGTATTTATATCAGCAACATCTCTAAGCCTCTGTGTGATTGCATTGATGCGATTAGCATGCAACATTGAAAATAGAGATGTATCTCTAAGCAATAGCATCAAATCCTCTTCAACTTCCTGCAACTTATAAACATTTTACTGTTATTAAAATTAATATACACCCATTTACTTTTTATTATTAATGTTTACTTTTCATATGTCCAGGACCTTTTATGCCATTTAACATTTACTTTT